ACAGTCAATCTGTGTAGCAAAACAATTGTTAGTTAAAAAAAAACATAAATAAAATAGTGAAACTTTAAAACAATGTTGTTTTTATTCATGTATTGATAATATGGAGGTTCATCAAATAAACGTCAAAACAATCAACAAAAACTTTGGCGTGAACTATCATCCCCTCAAGAGATGACAAATTTTGAGAAAACCCTGTATAAAGCATATAAAAAACATCCTTTATAACGTGAAATAATGATTAGTCCTGAATAGCAATCGCGAGCGTAAAAAGGAAGATAAACGAAAATTTATTAATATTTCACAAACATATTTTTGCCAGAAACAGAAACATTTTTAAGATAAAGACTGGGTTGATGGTTGTAACAATGACACTACGTTAATTTAAGTGGCCATTGAAAAAGACTTTTATGGACCCATTAACGCTCTACAGCTTATCTGCTTTGTTTTAAATAATCACAGATTTAGAAAATAACTAATTCAGGTTTTTTGTATTGTTAATAAAAGTTTTTTAAGTTTATTAAATAAAACATTAAAACTATGGTACAACATTGAAATATTAATTGGAGAAATATTCTTCGTTAATCATTTTTTTCGTTTTTCTTAAATATTATTCTAGGTACTATCTTTATAAAATTTAACAAAAATAATAAAAGGTTAAAATAAATCATGACAAATTCATGAAATTTGAGTTCCAGCAACTGAACCTTTGGCAACCAAACCGTTAGAATGCATGCGCACAATCATTGTTTAATAATAATTGACCAAACTTCATGAAATTCGCTAAAGGCTATTTCAAAAAATGATTGAGTTAGAGCCTATTATTTAGGCCAGGCCTTCCCAATTTTTTTTACTGTGACGCCCTTGGGAATTCGCCATTTTTTGCGACGCCCCCAATTGTAGTTCTAGCCTAGTAACAAGTTATCAGAAAAACTCCAAATAACTTTTATATGCTTTATGTTTATATATATATATATATTAGGGTGTCCCAAAAAAAAAGAATATATATTTTTTTCTTGTCTCTTGTAAAAATATGTTAGTTTATCATGCTGTGAGAGCCCTTTCAAAATATCAGCTCGATTAAAAATTTTGTAGGGGTCGCTCAAGATTTTTAAAAATTTTCAAAATGGTCAAAAATTGAATTTTTGTTTTATTTTAATTCTTTTTCTCGTCTCGATATTATTTTTTAGGTTGAAAATGATAAAAATTTTGTAAATTTCAAATCAATATTTTGATTTCTAAAGGTCGCTAAAAGTTCGTTGATATATATATTCAGAGGTCGCTCGAAAACATTCAAAATACTCTACTTTGAAATTTTAAAAAATCTTGAGCGACCTTTAGAAATTAAAATATCGATTTGAAATTTTCAGAATCATTATTATTTTTAAATTAAAAAATAATATCGGAAAGAGAAAAAAAATTAAAATAAAAAAAAATCCAATTTTTTACGATTTTGGTAATTTTTAAAAATCTTGAGCGACCCCTAAAATTTTTTTAATGGTGCTGATCTTTTGACAGGGCTCTCAAAACATGACAAACCAACATAATTTCACAAGAGACGAGAAGAAAAAAAATATTCTTTTTTTTTGGGACACCCTAATATATAAACTTTATATATATATAAACTTTTTTTTTTCTAAATTCCAAAGACTAAAAATAATCTATAATAACCTTTATCCTACCAAAAAGTACGCCACTGATCGACTAGGAACTTTAGACTAATCTGGTTGCCTAAATTAATTTATTATGTTATGGTTGGTAACACCAAATTCTGTCAAAAAAGTTGACAAACATTGTTTAAATTTAGCTTAATTACAAAAATGACAAAATCAACAATGCAAATTGTCAATTTGGCGTTTTATTAATTGTTGGTTATGTCATTTTTGTACTGAAGGTAAATTCAAACTAAATCTGCCAACTTTTATGACAGAATCTAGTGCATTTCTTTAAAATTTTAGGTTATGTGCTCAAATTGTAAATATCTTAACTAAGGAAAGTGCTTTTGGATTTTTTTTACACAAATTAAATGTTTAAAGTCTGCTCTTGACGCTTGAAGTGTAAGCATATGCTCATCGAGATCTCTCTTAAGCAGCGTATACGATACAAACGTAGTAACGTGATAACTGGTTAACGCCGTAAAATAATAAAAAATAATAAAAAATCAATCGATTCTAAACGTGATAACTGTCCCAAGGGCAAAAGAGTGCAAATTGTGTGTGGTACCTCCCGCTGGATTAAATCCTCAAGTGTTGGACCTGGTTAAAAGGTGTGAGAGAGACGATCAGTTCCACGAAATTTACTGGGCTACCACACGTGCGAGCGGCATGCCAAATGGATCAATTTCAGCACCAAATAATCAAGCTAAGTTATTTTTTCCAATTGCATGTCTTACCGTATTCGCTAAATGTTTATAAAAGCATTTCACAATGTTTATATAAGCATTTCACAATATTGCAAAAAGAAAATACTAAGAATTCTTTTATTGTCTCAAAAACTAAATTAAAAAAGAATAAGAACATTTCCGTAAGTTTAAACAAACAACCTCATTTTCTCATAGCAGACAAATTATAAACAACCATCGAAAAAGGCGTAAGATTTATTTATCTTATATAAACTTTATAATCTTTATAAACCAAACATGCAAGAAGACAAAAAATAACATAAACAGTTGTGTGTGAATAGCAGTGTTGCCAGATGTAAAAGTTGAAATAACGAATTGGGTAAATAAAATTATCGAATTTACGGAAAATTAAGTTACAATAATTGTAGTAATTATGTAACAATAATTATTATAATTTAATCATAAAAAAGTGAAAGAAGCAGGGTTGAAAATATTATCGAATTTTTAGAAAAATAAAATTTGTTAAAATAGCGCCTAAACACCTGCGCGCTAACTAAAGCAAACAGACAAAAATTACGCAAACTTGAACGTAAGATCATTACACTACTAACGACAGACTTACCCGACTACCATCTACAACATCCCCACGACCTGCTAATGGGAAAAACCATCACCAAAAGGATAAGAGTAGCCCAACTAAAATACTGGGCCCACGTCACTCGTAGACAACGCAACAACATACTACAAGCCACCCTTAAACTAGATCTTAAAGACAAAAAAGTCGGGAGACCATGCTTCACATTTCATGACACGTTAGCACAAAACATGCACTTCTCACAAATTAACAAGACCAGTTGGGAGCAACTTAGCAACAATAAAAACAAAATAAAAAAAACAACCGACACACTTTACCAAGTTCAGGAACTATCCTATACGGATAATGACAATAATGAACAAGACGAAGACCTCGACTAGGTAACTACACACTGCAGCAATAACAACTCCCCAACTCCAAATAGTAATCCCAAATGTTTGGAGTAATATTAATCGACTGGTTTAGGGGGATTCCGCGTCGTACTTAGTTTTAAGTCGGCGTAATTGTCCCCCAAAAACCAACACCCTCCCGTCCCTTCTCCATACCCCACTGAGCGTATAGCATAGGCTCGGCGAACCCGGGAATGGCTATTATAACTATTCGCCTCTCGCTCTCGAGCTCCAAATAGGGGACAGTACGGAACGCAATGGACATTCGCACCCAGCAAACACGGGTGAAGCCGTGAAGTTGCTGGGGAAGAACAAAAATCGGCGTAAGTAAACATAGGCCTGTACGGGGTTCGAGAGTCAAGAGGAAATGGGGCTGGTTATACGTCTCTTATACTCATACTCATACTCAAATTAAATGTTTAAAGTTTAACCTGTGAACTGGTCCCAATTTCATCTGAGTAAACAAAAAGAAAAAAACCGATGAAAAAATTAATTTTGTGGTTATGGAATTTTTAAAATAGGTACTAAATTTTCTAATCATTGCTTAAGCTATTAGCTGGATGAGTAAATAAATACAGAAGGGTATTAGAGCTTTAAGGGCATAAAACTTTTGTATTTATTGAGTTTTTATTTATTTTTTGCAAGAAAAATTTTTAGTAACAATCTGGCAACGCGCAGCTACTTTGTTGGTTGGTATCTATGTACTCACAGAACACAAGTGTGCAGAGATAAACCAAGTGTGTAACCAGTGGCGTATCACAAAAAATATAAAAAACTTGCATACTAATGCATATTTTTTCTTTATCTTTGGAAAAATATTTTTTTAAATATTTTTCCTTTACTAGCTATGTCAAAAGGTATTCCGTATTTTAATATATAACATTAATTACATAACACCCTGTATAGGGAAACGTATCGTGCGTGGCCTCGCCTCCCTTCAACGCGCGACACAGTAGCTAAGCATCGCTAATGAGATTTTTTGCATTATTATCATTTCATTTTTAAGGTCGTCTTACCTGCTGGACCTTTCGTCATGTCGTTTATCACACAAGCTACTGTGACGCGCGTTGGAGGGAGGCGAGGCCACGCTCGATACGTTTCCCTATATTCGGTTTTACTCTGAACGGGCTGTATAATATATCTACCTTTTCAAATTTAAATTCAGACTTGTCTGTTTTAAATTGAGACTTATGACGTTTATGTTGGGATCAGTTATATTCAAAATAAGAATAAAAAATTGAAACTAAATAATCAAAATCAAAATGAGAATTTGGAACCAAACAACGTCAAATTGAGACTTGAAAAAGTTTATATAGTGGGTTGTAAACAAGTTAATAGGTTTATTGTGAATTGCTAATTGGTAATTGGTAATATTTTGAATTTGTTTATTCTTATTTTGAATATAACTGATACCAATCTGAATGAATGAATTTAAAATTGACAAGTCTCAATTTGAAGTTAAAAAGGTATACTACGGTAGACAAAAATAAAAACAAAGAGTAGGTGTGGATAATTTTAATATTTTAATATTATTATTCATTTTTATTATATTTAATAGTTCAGTCAAATGTTTAGTAATGGTTAAACAATTAAAGTAAGTAACATCACTTTTCTCCGTGTACCAATTTAACTTCGATTCGATAAAATCCAACTCGGTTAGTTAATTAAGGGAAGCAACCTTTCAGGAAAATTTCTTGTGGTTATCGGTAATCCTAGAGCACGTGTGTACGTTATTGCACTTTGGCGCGGACCGGACGAACTTTGGCCTTGTTCCCTCGCGGGTTCGTTTCTTTCCAACTTTCTAATTGGCTCAGGCAATGAACCGGCAACGCACCTGACTTTCATGGGATTTGTTTTATCGCTTTAAATTTCGAGTGCATATCCTTCAGCGTTTCCAATGAAATGTCACGAACTATGAGATGAGAACGTTTCCAGTATACAGACAAGTTCAAACTTCAAAGCACGTAAATCAGAGTCAGCCAAAAAAGTTAAATATCGAAAGGAATTTTTAATTAATAAAAATAAATATTTTAAGAATAAAAAAAACGCTTTTGCCATATTTGAAGAGGTTATTTATAGGTATTAAAAAGTTTTAACTCGAAGGTTTTTATTTACTTGTAAATAACTTTTAATTAAAAAATCAGCTGAGAACATTTCAGCCAATAGATAAAACAAACTTCTACAGCTAAAACAAAATATTGTAAAGAAGTTTATTTAACTAACCAAAAATAATTGTTTTTGGTTAGTTAAAAAACTTTAATAAGCCAGAGCTTTTAGCATCCTTACTAGTTTAAACTGTAAATTATTGTATTCAGTCAAAACTGAACTTTTAATAAAACTTTAAATATGAAGGGAATGCAAAATAAATACCGGTAAACCAAATAGATTCTAGGAATAATTTTGATTATTTCCCTCATTATAAAATGAATCAATCAAAAGCCTTAAATTTTGTTTAGATAAGCGATTAAATCACTAGAACTGTTTAACAGCGACCTATTCCACTCATTACATTATGGGCCAAACCAAATTTCAGAACACGAGTGGTTTTTCAGTTTTGCAGCGATAAAAGTACTATTTTGGTGACTATTTCCCTCTTCTTAATTTTCACCAATCACAAACGCGCAAATATGAATTACAAATGGTTTCTAGGTGGAAAAACTGTGTGACAGCACCTGTCAGAAGTTTTTTCAAGTTTACTCGCGGCAAAACTTGACAGCTGTTGTCACCAAAAATTGCAATTTATATTTTAATACCTATACCTATTTTTCAGTTTTAAAATTAATACCTACATATTTATTATGTATGCATGTATAATAGGTTGCATGTTTTGTAAGCTATGTGTAGTTATGCAGAATAACTGTTAATCATGAAATAGTCTTGTCAAATACCATTCGGGAATCTAATTTTTCCTGTGAAAAAAATCGAAAAAACAAAATGCTAAGTAATATTTTTTAACAAAATGCAACGTGTTTTTTCGATTTTTTTCGTTTGTACAAGTTGCGAAAAATAATTGTCAATGTTGACGTTTCCAATTTTAAAATAAAAATGTCAAAAAATATGCGTTTTGGTAAAAAAAATCATACAGAAATTGAATCGGCAATTCTAATTAAAAAAAATATTCGCGAGTCTTGCCCACAGACCACCAAACAAATAGACGGATTTGTTTACGTTTAAAAAGCAAGTAAAGCATAGTTTCACATTCTAAACACCGTCGAAAGAAACACGGCTTCCAACGTTGTCAGAAGTATAGATTACACGCCTTTTTGGACGTTCATCATAACATAATGAACATTAATAATTACCAGTAATTCGTTTGAATAATAAAAAAATTGTAAAAAGGATTTGTTCATCATTTTCTTTAGATATTTTTCTCTATTTAAAGAAAATAAATCATTTAATAATTATTAAAATTAAATATTAACAACGTTGGTAAATTCGTCATATTTGACAGCATAGAAAAAGGTTGACAGCTTGTTGTTTTGTGTTTTCGTTTGTGTATTTCTATCGTGTTTAAGTTAATTATGGAGTTTAAATACATTATTTTTTACTAAAAATAACAATACATGGAAATATCGTTTGTATACCTACCTACTTATTATTTTTTTAATCCCAATACGTCACTGGAAGAAAACATCTATCGCCAATTTAACGCTTAGACTGTGACCGTTTGTTGACGTCACTGAAAGAAAACATAAAATTCTATCTCCAATTTGACGCTTAGACTGTAACCGTTTGTTGACCGCAAACAAAGCATTGTTATTAAATGGCAATGCGCCGTCCATTTGTTTTGGTGGTCTGTGGTCTTGCCGAATACCACTCGTGATAAAATTTTCCCTGAAAAATCTTGCCACTTGCGATATTTCCAAGAAAAAATATTTGTATCAAAAATTTTATGGGTAAAATTTTACCACTAGTGGTATTATATACAATTAAATTTTAGCCTCCATATTGGATTTTTGTTTACGATTTTATGGTGTTATTTATAAGTTATCTTTTTAGGAAATATCAATTATTAATTATTACATACCTACCTTTAAATTATTGGAATTTTTTTATAAAAAATACGTCAGATTTTATTAATTGTCGAATAGTTTCCTCTAATTCAAAAAATAATATTTTAGACGTATCACTCAGCCTATAAATTTAATCTGCGAAACTATGCTAAGTAAGTTTTTTATTTGGTTTTTCTTTTTGGAAAATAGTTTCATGCAAACTAATTAAAAATAAAACCCCTCGACCGCTACGCGGTCTCGTAATTTTATTAAATTATTTTGCATTCAACATTTTCCAAGAAAAACCAAACAAAATACTACTGAGTCTAGTTTAACCAATTAAATTCTTAGTTCTAGTGGTATAATATATGAAAAAATTTGACTTTAAATATTAAAAATGCTTAAGGAAATTAGAGCTGTTTATAGAAGTATCACAAAGATATTGGCTCCTTATAGGATCATCCCAGTCTGGGACATAAGGCTGGTCCAAGGACGTCCTGAGGATGTTTGTGCTTGCTGGGATTGGCAATAATATATTGGATAAACATTTTGCGCCAATATAGGACCAACCTTGGATAAAAATTGGTAATAAAAAATTGAATAACCAATTTACGCCAATATAAAGCCAACCTTGTATAAACATTGGTCCGCCCCGGGCCCCCGGTCCAGAGGGGCCCCCAAATCTTGAGTAGACTTTCTCACTTTAATAAAAAAAATCTAAAATTTTATGTATTTCGGTTTTCGAGGCCCTCGGCTGCAAGGGGTCCCCAGGACCAAATACCTCTACCATACAATATAAAATAAAAAATATCTATAACTATTACAAAGTCCCGTCCGTTACGCTTTAAATTATTAGTTTTTAAGGAATTAAACAGTCAACCACGATACCTAGTTTTGCCAAATAAAAACCTTGTTAAACAGCTTTAGTTTAGAATTATTTATAAAAATTTGACATTGGTAATATAATAGAACAATATTATTTTGTAAATAAAAACACGGCAACTGTCCTATCCGTTACGCGTGGAATGGCCCAAAAGTAAAATACAATTGACTGTAAATTTAAAAAAAATGTTTCCATGTTATTTAAATGGAAAAAATTCCAAGTCGATGCCACTTATTTAAAATTAAATAAAATAACTGTTAAAGCCAACAGGTCGATGGATTAATGCAAAATTCTGCAATGATACTAAATTAAGCCCATCGGACTTAGTAGTAGAATGCGATAATTTGTGGGAATGAAAAGGCCGTCCCAGTAGCTAGCATTGTTCGGCAGCTGAATAACGTTATTACGATATGATTAACGATATATACACGTGAAACTCGTAGGTAGGTTTACGTCGTTCGCTAATCCAATTATAATTAGTGTTACTATAAACTGTTGATATCTCGCAGTTCTATGAGACCAAACATAAATTCGCGAGTCGTCGCACTATGACATAATATAAAAAAAGGTTTATTAAATAAATGTTAATTTTGTGACCTTTAGTTAAGTTTCTTTATTCAGAGTTTTGATTATATTGCATTTGTTTTCCTTACTTTTTACCATAACTTCATAACTTCGTCAAATATATTTGACGAAGTTATGCCATTTTTATAGCTCTATAGAGACACAAAAAATCGAACATGTTTTGCAAAATTGGGTGAAGAGGATGGACTATTGCCAAGCTAGCCGCGGCGGTCATTTAACTGAAACTGTTTTCCATAAATATTTGGAAGGTGTTCTTTCTTAAATAAGGTAATATTTATTTAAAGATATTGAACGGTTTAGTTTTAATAGAAACCATCAGGTGGCCCACACTTTATATTATGCTTTTAAGACTTTAGACTAATTTGAATTAAAAACACTAGAATGTGATGTTGTTTATATAATATAATACATTATATATCCCTTTTGTAATTAATAATCAGGATTTAGCCATATTTCATAAAATCCTCCTAATGATCATAAAACTGAAGCTTGCCTATAAATGCAGAAATGGAGAGTTAAGATAAGTCTGGAACAATTTTACAACCATTTACGGTTTCTTCTAAAAACTCTGAAACATAAGTGGAAATTTGGTTTATGTGAAATATTGGAATGAAGCTCTACGTTGAATTGGGGCCCTCTAACAACTCTTAGATATTTTGAAAAGTTATCTAAACTAGAATATCGGTGGAAAAACGTACAATTACTTCTACTATAGTTTAGCATTTTAAAATATGTACGTATATGTAGGATGGGAGTTTTGTCTACTATAATAATAATAATATAATAATAATTATTATAATGTTCAAATATTTTTTTAAACGTGTGTTTCTAGTCATTAAATAGTAGATTATATACATATTTTAATTAAAATTAAATAGCGAACCCAACATATAAATCTTGTACAGTTAATTATTAATAATTATTATTATAGTCCAAATATTTTTTTAATTATTAATTTTTGTTCTGTTTTACGACATAGTGCTTACGATACGAAATACGTTAGCTCATAGTATGCCCATATTGTTCCCAATTGTCGCATATCCAAGACACATTGCACTGTAATTTTACCTGCCTAGATCATTACGAGAAACGACCATGTGGAAAATTAAAGCGTAGATAGCCACATGGAGGGTGATGTTTCGCCCGTTTTAATATCCTTTGTCAGAGAATGTTTTAAGCGCATCAAAATTTTATTCACAAAACTGTTTAGTTTATTCATTATGCTGTATTTAACTTGATAATTTGAAAATAAAAAAATTGCCTTAGGGGCCCACCTTGACAAAAAATCAGATGTGTTATTTAACAAACTAAAAACTATATCTGAAGTCAAATATTTAGTTTAATTGCGACGTAATTTATAATATTAATATTTATTAATATTCGTA